TTTCTTTGTTTTTGTGGTGCTGAGGATTGAACATCCAGGAGCCACATCCCCAGCCCTTATCTTTGATGAAAGTTCTTGCTAAGTTGCTAAGGCTGTCCTGAACTTGCAGTCCTACTGCCTCAAGTAGACTCCCAAGTAGCTGAGATTATGGCCATCTTTTGAGAAATGTCTGTTTAGGTCTTTCATGTTATATTTTGTTTTCTAGTCCTGAGAATTGAGTCCAGGGCTTCATGAATGCTTGGCTTCTGCTCTACCACTGAGGTACACCCATAGCCCTATATTGTCCATATTTTAACTGAGTTGGCTTTTTTTTTATACTGATGGGTTTTTGTTGTTGTTGTTGTTGTTCTAAGTAGTTATACATGACAGTAGTGATACTGAGTTTTTGAGTTCCATACCCTGGATATGAGCCCTTGTCAGCTGTTAGTTTGCAAGTATTTGTTCTGTACCATAGGTTATCTTTTCCCTCTGATGATTATTTCTTTTGCTATGCAGAAACTTCTAGTGTGATGTGATCCCATTTTGCATTTGTTTTATGCCTTTCAGGTCTTGACCAGAAAACCCTTGCTCATTCCAATATCCTGAAACATTTCCTTTATGTTTTTCTGTAGTCATTTCATAGTTTCAAGGCAAAATGGAGTGGCTCTTCGGTGCACTGATTTTTGCAACTAGTGTAACTGATGAGAGATAGGGGTCTAGTTTCATTCCTTTGTGTGTGGATACCTAGTTTTCCTGGCACCATTTTGCTGAAAACATTGTCCTTTCTTCTGTGTATGTTCTTAGCGCTTTTTTAAAAAAACAGCTGACTGTAATTGTACATGTTTACCTTTAGGTTCTCTATTCTGTTCCATTAGTCTGTGTGTCTGTTTTTAATGCCAAAAATCATTCTGTTTTGATTATGACAGGTTTGCAGTATATTTTGAAGTCAGGTAGTGTAATGCTTATGGCTTAGTTCCTTTTCCTCAAGATTACTTTGGCTATTTGGGGGTTTTGTGGTTCTGTACAAATTTTAAGATTGTTTTTCTAGTTATGTGACGAATATCTTTGGTATTTTATTTATTGCATTAAATCTGTAGATTGCTTTGGGTAGCAAGGTCATTTTAGCAATATTTATTTCTGTTAACATAGAATGTTTTTCAACTTTTTTGTGTCCTCTTCAAATTTTTTCACCTTTAAAAAATTTTCTTTGTCCACTRAGCCACATCCCCAACCTTTTTTCTTTTTTGTTTTGAGACAGGGCCTCCCTACGTTGCTGAGACTGTCTTTAAACTTGTGATCCTCTGCCTCAGCCTCCACACTTACTGGGATTACAGGCTTAAACCAGCACCCAGCTCATCAGAGTTTTATAGTTTTTGTTGTAGAGATATTTTCTCTTTGGTTAAATTTATGTTTAAGTTTTTTGTATTTTTTTTGATAGCTCTTATAAATCAGGTTGCTTTCTTGATCTCTATTTCAGGCAATTAGCTATTGACATATAATAGTGCTGCAGATTTTAAATTTTGATTTTATATCCTGCAAATTTCTAAATTGTTTATTGGTTCTAGTTTTTTGGTGGAGTCTTTGGGGGTTTTCTTTATATATGATCACATCATCTGCAAACAGTGACAATTTGACTTCCTTTTTGCCAACTTGATTGCCCTTTATCTCTTCTATCTGATTGTTCTGGCTACTGTATTGAACAAAAGTGGTGAAAGTGGTTATCCTTGGCTTGTTCCAGATCTTAGAAAGCTTTCAATTTTCTTTTTTTTAGTAAATATTAGCTGTTGGCTTATTATGTATGGCCTTTGTTATGTTGATATATATTCTTTCAAAACATCCTTCAGTGTTTTTGTCATTAAGGGGTGTTGACTTTTATCAGATGCTTTTTTTGCATCTCTTAAGATGATCATGTGAGTTCTGTGTTTCAATCTGTTGGTGTGATTTATTTTGTTTATTGATTCATATATTTTGAGCTATCCTTGCATCCCTGGGATGAACCCCACTTGATGATAGTGAAAACAAAACTTTTGTGTGTGGTACTGGGGATTGAACCCAGGGCCTCACATATTCTAGGCAAGTAGTCCACCACTGAGCTATATCCCTCACCCTTTTTAATTTTTATTTTGAGACAGGGTCTTATTAAGTTACCCAGCCTGGCCTTGAATTTTTATTACAGGCATGACCATCATGCCTGATTTTTGTATTTCTTTATGATTTAACCTTGCTAAATGAGGCTAGGAATATAGCTCAGTTGGAAGAGGGCTTGCCTCCCATGCACAACGCCCTGGGTTCAATCCCTGGCACCACCAAAAACAAAAACAAAAACAAAACAAAACAAAAAAAACACCCTACCAAAGGGTATGTGTCCATAATTTGTCCTTTTGAGTTATCAAATGTGTTAGCTTGTAACTGTTCATAATAATCTATAATGATTCTTTGTATTTCTGTGCTGTCAGTTGTAATGTGTTTGATTTTATTGGAGTATTGCTATGGATTGGATAAGTATCCCTCAAGAGTCCATGTGGCAAAGGCTTGCTTCCTAGCCTTATGGTGCTTTTGGGAGGTGGTAGGGCCTTTAGGAGGTGAGTACATATGAGAGGTCTCTGTCTCTTGACTTCCTTTTTACCAACTTGGTTGCCCTTGGTATGCCTTTGAAGAGGACTGTGGGACCCAGTTCTTTGTTCATGTTCACTCCTCTGACCATGAAGTGGTTTTGCTGCTACCATGATCTGCTGCTTCACCCAAAGCAATGGGGCCAACTGATCATGTATTGAAACCTTAAAACTATGAGCCAAAATAAATCTTTTATATATTTATTATCTTAGATATTATCCATATCTTAGATAATGGAACACTAACTTAAGTTTTCTCTATTTTTCTTAGTCTGTCAATTTTATATATCTTTTGAAAGAACTAGCTCTCTGATGGCTTTTTAGTATTTATGTTTTCTTTCCCCCTCTATTGCATTTATTTCTTGTCTGATCTTTGATTTTTTTCCTTCTACTAATTTTGGGTTTGGTTTGTTCTTGTTTTTCTTATTCCTCGAGATGTGGTGGTAGGTGGTGGTTGTTTTGTTGTTGTTGTTGTAATTGAAATCTTTCTTCTCTTTATTTTTTTTTTTCAGTACTGGGCATTGAACCCAGGGGTGTTCCACCACTGAGCCTGAGCCACATCCCCAAACCTTTTTATTTTTTTATTTTGAGACGGTCTTGCTGAGTTGCCCAGGCTGGCCTCCCAAGTCACTAGGATTACAGTGTGTGATACCTATTCTCTTTCTTGATGTAGACATTGATATCTATAAACCTATCCTACTGCTTTTGCTACTATATCCCATGTGTTTTTATGTTGTTTCTTCATTTCTCCCCCCAGGAAATTTTAAATATTTTTTATTTCTTCCACAGTCTATTGGTTATTCAAGAGTAAGTTGTTTAATTTTCATGTATTTGTATTTTCTGAAGTTTTTCTTGCTCTTGATTAATAGCTTTATTGCATTGTACTCAGAAAAGATGCTCAATATGATTTTAATTTTTAAAGATTTGTTGAGACTTTTTTTTTTTGGTCTATCACATGATCTATCCTGGAGAATGTTCCATGTACTCATGAGAAGAATGTATATTTCAGATGGAATGTTCTGTTAGGTTCATTTGTTCTAGGATACAATTTAGCTCTATTTTTTCTATTTTGATTTTCTGTATGGATGACTTGGGTTCAAGAAGTTGAGAACCAGCCATTTGTCTGACTTTATTTTTTGCTATGAGGTTGGTAGTGACACTTTTTCCAGCTGTGTTCCAATCTGTTAGCTTTATTTTATAGTTTCTCTGCATTTGAGATGAATAGTAAAGTCTGTCCCCTGAGAGAAAGTTAATTACTTCTTGATATGATATTAGTACTTAGTCCTCATACAACTGTATCTGTCACAGTGTTTTGTAATTATTTGCCAATATATCTGTCTCTACTGTGAGTTATTATACTATTTGATGGAGTCAACATCTGTGACCTCTATATACTAAATGTTTCCTAATCAGTGGTAGACACTTAGTATATGTTGAATAGAATTACAAGAAGATTTTAATTCATAGCACATTCTTGGTACTTTGTAAGATTCAGAGTATCTTATTTGAGTATCAGATATTTGATTTGTTGAATAATTCATGAATAAAATAAATGGCTTATTTATATGGTATTTAGAAATTGAGTTAACTTTTGTTGGCTTAGATTTCCAGGTAATTTTTTAAAAATTGGGTCAGTTTAAAAGTTTGATTTATGGGGGGTGGGTAAGGAAGAATGAATGAACTTTGGATTGGGCAGAGGGGAGTGGGGGGAGGGGAAAGGATATCGGGGTGGGAAGGATGATGGAATGAGACAGACATTATTACCCTATATACATGTATGATTACACTATACTACCAGTGTGACGATGCACCATGTACAGCCAGAGGAATGAGGAGTTGTGCTCTATTTGTTTATAATGTGTCAAAATGCATTCTACTGTCATGTATAACTAATAGAACAGATTTTTTAAAAGTTTGATTTAGGGGCTAGGGTTATGGCTCAGTGGTAGAGTGCCCACCTACCATGCATGAGGCACTGGGTTTGATCCTTAGCACCACATAAAAATAAAACAAAGATATAGTGTCCACCTAGAACTAAAAAAATAAATATTTAAAAATAAATAAATAAAAGTTTGATTTAATCATTTCTGTAATAAAAAATCTTGTTTGATACAGCTTTAGTTGCATGGTTTAATTATTACTTGCTCAAAATAATTCACAGGGTTGAATTATTTTGTTCTCCCAACTTTGGGGCCATATTTTTTATTTGAGAACCTCAGAAAAGTGAGTAATAAATTATTATATTAAAAATTTTCTTTACATCAAACTGTTATTTGTAAAAGAGTAAAATTGTATTCTCCTTGTAATATTTATAAGTAGTTTAGATAAAGAATGAATTTAGTATTATGCTTTTATTTTTATTGGACAAATAAAAGAGATTTTTTTTCAAACTAACTGCATCTTTTCCAGATCAAATTTTCGCCGGTAGCTAAAAAGTTGTTTGTTGTAACTGCAGTGAGTGCTATATCTGTAGTTTTTCTGGCCCATCACTTTAAAAGAAAACGTGGAAAGAAGAAAGGAAAAGTATTACCATGGGAACCAGAGCACCTCTTACTGGAGTACACTAAAAGAGCAGCATCAGACAAAGGTATGTGAAAATAGCTGAACCAAGTCCACAGAAGAAATTTCTTGTGTAAATCATGCATGAAATACAGGGATTTCAGCATTTCAGTCTTCAAAATTTTTTCCTTAATATTTAACTTGTAAGTAATTAAACATTTTAGAAAGACTAGAAAATATAGAAAAGTAAACAGAAAAAATTAAAATCACTTGAAATTCTACTGCACAGAAATAGCTACTGATTGTGCTTTAGTGTGTCTTTCCATTTGTATTTGTACCTAATTATATTGAGGTATAAAATTTGCTGTTATCTATAAGTAAATTTGTATTAAGAATAGCTTTCCAGGTCTATAAAAATATATCTGTACTATCATTTTTATATATAATTTAGGTTAAATTTGTACAAATGTACCCTAATCTATTTAAGCATTTCCATTATTGTTCATTGTCGTATGTTCATGGTTTTCTTATTTTGCACATATTTTTTTATTTCCTCAGAATCTTTAGTTGTAGAAGAATTGCTGAATTTTAAAGAATTCATAATTCTTGTTAGAGATATGGTATATATTGCTAAATTGTAGCAATAAAAATACTTTCTTGAACATGCTAGAATTTTCAGTTTTTTATTTAGTGTATGATATTCTTTCATGATACATTTGTCCAGCACATAAGGAGCAACAATTTGCACCAAGCACAGTGAACATTGCAGTAGTGATTGCTATCATTCATTGAAATTTTATTAGGTTTTAGACAGATGCTTTATTTAACTTTATAGCAGTCCTGTGAATTAGGACTACAAAACTCTATGTGATTGTTCGTTTTTATATATAAAGGAAAATTGAGATAAGTAAAAGTTAAGTGATTTACCCAAGGCTGTATAATTTTAAAGTACTGGGATTTGAATCTAGAAGTGTCTTACCTGGTCTGTTAAGAAAAACTTAGATATGCCATCTGCCCCAGAAAAGTGGATAGATGGATGGAGGAGAGAGATGTACAAAAAACTGAATGTAATACAATGTGGGTAAGGTTTAGATATAATTCAGGAAAGGAATTGCTTTGTTATAATGTACAGTTTGAAGTTTAATAGTTGTTAGTGATTTCATAGTGATTATAATAGACCATTCAAATTTTCTTGATTAATTAGGTGAACTGACTCTTAATTTCAGAAGCAAATTTTAGCAGCTTTAAAAACATTAGAGGGGCTGGGATTGTGGCTCAGCAGTAGAGCACTCCCCTAGCACGTGGGAGGCCCTGGGTTCGATCCTCAGCACCACATAAAAATAAGTAAATAAAATAAAGATATCGTTTCCAGTTACAACCAAACAATAAATATTAAAAAAAAATTAGAGATGGTGGGCTGCGGTTGTAGCTCAGTGGTAGAGCACTTACCTTACACATGTAAGACACAGGTTTTGATCCTCAGCACCACACAAAAATAAAATAAATAAAGATATTGTGTCCATCTACACCTAAAAATGTTTTAAAAATGATTAGAGATATAAATATTAATACTATTGTACATTTGATAATTTGTTCAGGTGAATGGAGTATGTTTTAAAAATTAGAAGCTTTCTGAATGAATATAATATAAATTTCAAATTTTACATGAAAATTATTATTAAAATTATTGATACTTTAAATATTTGTATGTTTGTTAATAGGTTCAAGTTGTTCCAGTAGTAGACAGAATTTGACATTATCTTTAAGTTCCACCAAAGACAAAGGATCTCAGTCTTGTAACTTTGCTAATGGAGGACTTTTCAGTAAATACTCAGGTTCTGCACAGAGTTTGGCTTCTGTAAGTAAAAATCTATATTTATTATTATTATTATTATTATTATTATTATTATTATTACATTTGTTGCATGTCTCTTGTTATATATTAGTTTAAGTGTCACACACTTAACAGCTCTTAGTATAGAAAGAACCTTATGAAATCAGCTGGTTAATTTGTTTTCTTCAGGCAGGTAAAAGTATTTTTTTGCTAAATATTTCAGACAGTTTGGTTCCAGGTTTCTTTGAGTGAGTGATATAGTTCATAGGATCCTATGAGAGTGGTTTTGATGTGAAAGCAATGCTTCAAAATTAGATGCTATACAAGAAGCTGATTGATGTAGCCAGACTTTGTGCTAAGTTACAAAAATCCCTTGATGAGCCTACTTAGGGAAAAGTATTTGACTCGCTGGCAAGTATGGGGTTCCTTACCTCCTCTTTTGCAGCGTTCATATTGTATTAACTGATAGGTGGAAGACTTCCTGAAATCCTTAATATAATATTTTTTAAAAATATTTTTTAGTTGTCCAATGGACCTTTATTTTATTTATTTATATGTGGTGCTGAGAAGTGAACCCAGTGCCTCGCACATGCTAGGCAGGCACTCTACCACTGAGCCACCACCCCAGCCCCTAAATCCTTAATATAATATTGATTGACAAGTGAGGAATAAAGTTTATATATCTTTAAAATTTTTATTTATTTATTTCTTGTACTAGAGATTGAACCCAGGGGCTCTGAGATATACCCCCCACCCCAGTCCTTTTTTTTTTTCAAGATAGAGTCTCACTAATTTGCTTAGGGCCTTGCTAAGTTGCTGAGGCTGGCCTCAAACCTGTAATCCTCTTGCCTCAACCTCCTTAGTACCTGATACTACAGGAATGTACCACCATGCCCAGTAAAAATATAATTTTTAAAGGTTTATGGGTAGGAACATCTAGATCAAAGACCTGTAGACTTTCTGTGCTATGAAATTGAACAGGATAATAAAGAGTATATTTATAGTTCAGTGTCAGAAATACCTAATTAGAAATTTTTCAATTGAAATTTGAAACTTTTATTTTTAATATAACTAGAATTAGACATGGGGAGTTTCATGATAGTAATATAACAAGTTTTCAGAATCACTTTACTGTTCTTCTTCAACCAGCCTCATCATTTTCCTGCCAGAAGTATAAACCCAGATTTCTGCCTGGATTTTCTACCCTGTAGTCAGTAGGTTATGAGTGCCTAAATTATGGTCATGTTAACAGAAGTAGAAAGGAGAAGAAAGGATCTAGAAATGCTTAGTCACTGGATATGAAAGATGTGGGAAGACCTGTTGGAGATGACTTCCTGTTTTTGTTGTTGTTGTTGTTGTTGTTTGTCTGATAAATTATGGGAATTGGAAATATTAGTGAACTTGGGAGGAGGAGGAATTTTTGTTGTGGGAAGATGCTGAACTTCTTTTTATGATGTAGTCAATTTGAGATGCCAGCAGAAAACCAGGTGGAATCAACTAGTAGGCAGAAGAAAAGATGGATCTGGATTACTCAAAAGAAAACATAATTGGAATTAGGGATTTGTAATTCATTTGCACAGAAGTGATTGAAATATGATGTAGTGGACCTTGCTAAGGATGATGAGTATGTACAATAATGATACACACTTTTAATTCTCATTTGGCAAAGAGTCAGCATTGTCAAACATTATAAAAGGGAAATAAGCTAGATAATATTATAAAAACAACTGCCTCATGCTTATGGAAATAACTGACTTATATTCAAAACATTGTTCTACTTATGTATTTTTGAGCAAACAGAGACTCAGAATATTTAGGGTCATATGAATACTAAGTTTGCTTGAATATAATCAGAATTATTTCTTCAGGTGAAAATTGCATTGATTGTTTCCCCTGCTATAGGATTTATGTAAATAATTAATAAAAATAAATAAATATACTATCCTAGAGAGAGTTTAAAGGAACTTTTATTAATTTTACTTTTAGGTGCAGAGTGTCAATTCCTGCCATAGCTGTGCTTGTGGCAATTCTAATTCCTGGGACAAAGCTGATGAAGATGATGTTAAACTTGTAAATATTCCTGTGACCACTCCTGAGAACTTATACTTAATGGGTAAGAATAACATGATAAAGTTTTAAGATATTGTGTTTTGAAACTAAAACAACTGAATTGTTTTAAGAAGAGCAACTATAATTTTAAAATGTTGTTGTATCTGTTGAATCTAGTCTATATAGCATCACCAGTTTATTAATTTCCTGATGGTGCTGTAACAAAATACCAAAAATGTGGTGCTTTAAAATAGTTGCAATTTATTCACACAGAGTTTTGGAGGCCAGAAGTCTGAAGACTTTATCACTGAGATGAAATCAAGGTGGAGGCCTATGGGAGAGTTCATTCCTTGTCTCTTTCAGTTTCTAGTGACTGCTAGCCTTTCTTGGCTTGTGGCCACATTACTCTACCTCTGCCTTGGTCTTTCTGTTGCATTCTCTGTGGACATCAAATCTCCCTTCACATCTCTCTTAAAAGGACACTATGCCAAGTATGATAGAGCATGCCTATAATTTCAGCAGCTTGAGAGGCTGAGGCAGGAGGATTGCAAGTTCAAAGCCAGCCTCAACAATTTAGCAAGCCCTAAGCAACTCAATGAGACCCTGTCTCTAAATAAGATATAATAAAAGGCTGGGATGTAGGGATGTAGCTTAGTGGTTAAACACCCCTGGAATCAATCCCCAGTACCAAAAAAAAAGGACACTTGTAATTGAATTTAGGGTCCACCAGATAATCTAGGATAATCTCGTTAGGATCCTTACCTTAATTACATCTGCAAAGATACTTTTTTTCACATAAGGTAGAATAGATTCTGGGAATTAGGACTTGCTATTTTTGTGTAGCCATCATTAAGCCTACTACATTAAGCTAACCTAATGACTCTTCTCTAATAATCTATCCAAATCCACTTTACTTCATCTGCTATCATTTGTATTCTTCCTATATCCAGAGAAATTATGTAGAAAGAAAATCTGTGTATCCCATCTCAGTGTTACTCTTGACTTGACCACAAGCATGTCTAGGGAGCCTCACTGGATCCTTGTGTAGGGAGGGAACAACAACAAAAAACCCTGAACCTGCTATTGAATCAGAATATTCAAGTGCTTTACCTTCCCTAATATTTTGCACTGTATTTTAAGCTACATTTCTTTTAAATAAAAAATAACCCCTAAAATCTTTGATGTGGCCCTGGTGAGCAGTACAAGGGTTGTCTTTACTGTAGGTAAAAGGCTGTGTGCTTTTAGGGTATTCCCATGGTCTGGAATAGTTAGGCTATCACCTCCGGTGGTATTACAGTGGGGGTTTCTGCAAGGGGAAAGGAAGAATAACTTCTTTTACCATTTTCTCCAAAGGTCACCAAAGAATTAAGCTCACTCTGTTTCTAGATAACTCTGTCTAGTAAATCTTCAGTTGCAGATTCTGTTAAGAATACTCAGCACTTGAATTGAAGAAAAGTAGAGCAATACCAGATAAGCTGCAATGAGGTTTGCTGTATTATACAGTTTGGATTGGTAGGAGCCCTGTGGGTCACCTAATCTAATCACTTCTATATTTCTGTTTAAATTCCCTTTCCAAAGCTGACATTCTAAAAAGATCGGTGACTTGTCTAGTGGCATATCCTATAATCCCAGCATCTTGGGAGCCTGAGGCAGGAGGATCATGAGTTGAGAAGCAGCTTCGGCAACTTAGAGAGACCCTATCTCAAAATAAAAAATATAAAAAAGGACTGGGGATGTGGCTCAATGGTTGATCCCCTGCTAGGCTCAATCCCCAATACAAAAAAAAAAAAAAAAGATTGGTGGCTTATATTTGATGTCCTGTTATAAAATTGATGAGATACGGTGGTCTGGGTCATGTTCCACAGTGAGGTGGAATCACAGTACTTCCCAAGGAGTCATCTGTTATCTTTGGACAACTCTGGTCTTAGGTAACCTGTGTTCAGCCAAAATAATTGGACAGATAGATAGGGGATAGTGTAAGGAAAGAAAAAATAGAGTAGAGTTAGATAGCTTATAGAAAAGAAGATAGATATAATTGTCATTGCCTACCCCAAATGAGTACTAGGGATTACTAGTACTAGTGGTGGTGGGGTACCACTGAGGTACACCCTCAGACCTTTTTATATTTTATTTTGAGACAGAACCTCACTAAGTTGCATAGGTTGGCCTTGAAATTGGGATCCTCCTGCCTCAGCCTCCAAAGTAGTTAGGATTACAGGTGTACTTTACTGTGCCTGGCTACAATTATCTTTTTTTTCAATATTTTTTAGTTGTAGATGTACACAATATCTGTATTTTATTCACTTGCTTTTTTTTTTTTATGTGGTGCTGAGGATTGAGCCCAGGACCTCACATGTGTGAGGCAAGTGCTGTACCCCTGAGCTACAACCCAATCCACCTACAATTATCTTTTAAGTGCATAAGATTTTTAGAATGAAAATCAAAAGCATGATTTTTGCTATAGAAAAATCAAACAAGGATAAGTTCTACATTGCATGTGAAGATGATTTTGTTTCATGTTCTGCATTCTACAGATGATTGAAGAAATGCCTTTAGAGGAGAGGTAGTCTTTATCTAAATATTCTAAAAAAATCTTGAGTATGACTTGTCCAGATTCTTAAGGAACTTTTAAATATTTTTTCTTAATGCAGAAAAGTTGAAGTTTTAATATATTTTAGTTTTGGTTGAAGTGCATAATAACTTTGGCCAGCATGTTTTTTTTTTTTTTTTTTACCTTGGAGAAAACGAGGTGTATATTCACCCCCCCACACCCTTCTCCCACCCCCCAGTGGCTCAGTGGTAGAGCACTCACCTGGCATATGCAAGGCCCTCAGTGCCACATAAAAATAAATAAAATAAAGGTATTGTGTCCCACTACAAGTAAAAAATAAATATAAAAAAAATCACATTGGCCATTTTCTTCTCTGATTTTTGGTTGACTAGAACTGCAGACTCAAGAGTATATTGGGGAATTTAAATCCTACTCTGAAATAATAGGAGTATAAAATTATTCTTTAATGCCAAAATTGCATTAGACTGTGCTGTTGAAGATAACTGTATGAAAACATTTCAGACCCCAAATGATTTTATTTTGACATTGATTTTACTCACTTACCATTATTGTGTTCCTACTTTTAGGTATGGAATTGTTTGAAGAGGCATTGCGTCGATGGGAACAAGCTCTAACCTTTCGCAATAGACAGGCTGAAGATGAAGCCTGCGGTTCCATTAAACTGGGTGCTGGGGATGCCATTGCTGAAGAAAGTGTAGATGTAAGGGTGATTTATTGATGAGGAAGAATCAAACTGATTTTTAATTTTCTTTTTGTAGCTGTAGATGGACAAAATGCCTTTATTTTATTTATTTTTATGTGGTTATTTTTATGTGGATCAAATCCAGTGCCTCAGACATGCTAGGCAAGCACTTTGCCACTGAGCTACAGCTACAGCCCTCAAACTGTTTTTTTTTTTTAATATTTATTTTTTAGTTGTGGTTGGACATAATACCTTTATTTTATTTATTTGTTTTTATGTGTTGCTGAGGATTGAACCCAGTGCCTCATTTGTGCTAGACAAGCGCTCTACCACTGAGCTATACCCCTAGCCCCTCAACCGATTTTTAATGTTGATTCAGTGTATCTGCTTTCAGTGGCATCGTCTGGCCCTTTTTATCATTCTCTTGGAATTGTGTGGGATATTTCTTGTTGGGTGTTTCCTGTTCAGTTAGTTGCCATTCATTAAGTTTCTTACTTTCCTAGGATAATTAAGTAGACAGAAATAGTTCTTTTTTTTTCTTTTTGCAGTTCTGGGGATTGAACCCAGGACCTCAAGCATGCTAGGCAAGTGCTCTATCACTGGGCTATATTGCCAGCTCAGCAAATAAGATTTCTTTTTTTTTAATATTTATTTTTTTAGTTGTAGTTGGATACAATATCTTTAATTAATTAATTAATTTTTACGTGGTGCTGAGGATTGAATCCAGGGCCTCGATACACCCCCAGCCCTAGCAAATAAGATTTCTAAAGGAACTTTTTAAAATCTGTCTTGTGCTTTGGATTTAATTATATGCTATTATAATTCATAAAAGTAAATAATACATAGAGTAAAACTAGATTGATCATTTAGGTAGATTAATGATCATTTAGGTAGATTAGTAGTTCTCAAACTTGAGCATACATTGGAATCACCTGGAGAAGTTGTTAAAACACAGATTTATGGCCAGTGTTTATAATACTGTAGAATTGAGGTGGATCATGGGATTTGCATTTTTAATAATTATGCTGCTGGTTCAGGGACCTTATTCGAGAACCCCTGATCTAGTCGAACTCCTCAATTTTACAGATAATGAAACTCAATCCTTGATAACTGAGATAATTTTGCCAAATTAACTAGAATCTAGGCCTCATGATTTCCATAGCGCCCTTTCTACTGCCTAACAGTAGGCTGGTGTTTGTTTTCATTTTGGTTTTTGGCAGTACTGGGGATTGAACTCTACCACTAAGCCATATCCCCAGCCCTTTTATTTTTTGAGACAGGGTTTCACTAAGTTGCTGACATGGGCCTCAAACTTGTTTCTGCCTCAGACTTTCGAGTAACTAGAATTATAGGCATTACAGGCATGTGTCACCATGCTTAGCTAACAGTTTTATATATCCTTCTTTTTGCCTGCATTAAGTAAACATCTTCTATGTTTAGAATTTTAACATTAGAATCTAATTTGCTCTATTCTCTCTTTGTAGGATATTATTAGTACTGAATTCATCCATAAACTTGAAGCTCTGCTACAAAGAGCATATCGTCTCCAAGAGGAGTTTGAAGCTACCCTTGGGGGGTCTGATCCTAATTCCCTTGCTAATGATACTGGTAAGATGGATCTTTTGTTTGGTTTTTATGAAGTATATGATTTTCTTCTTTTATATTCTTGAAATCACTTGGTTTTTAATACATTTGTCTTTTGTACCAATAAGTTAGATGTTTAGTTTAAAATAGCCAAGAGGGACTGGGAAAGGAGCTCAGCGGTATCGCACTTGCCTGGCATGTGTGAGGCATTGAGTTCGATTCTCAGCACCGCATACAAATAAATAAAGGTCTATCAACAACTAAAAATAAGAGAGAAAGAAAGAAAGAAAGAGAGAGAGGGAGGGAGGGAGGGAGGAAGGAAAGAAGGAAATAGCCAAGAGAAAAAAGTTCTAACGTGTGTGTGTATGTGTGTGTGTGTGTGTGTGTGTGTGTACACTAAGGATTGAACCCAGGGTCATTCAACCACTGAGTTACATCCCGGCCCTTTTTTTTTTTTTTTTTTTTTTTGGTGGGGAGGCACCAACGATTGAACTCAGGGGCACTCGACCACTGAGCCACATTCCCAGCCCTATTTTATATTTTATTTAGAGACAGAATCTCACTGAGTTGCTTAGCACCTCGCTGTTGCTGAGGCTGACTTTGAACTCGTGATCCTCCTATCTCAGCATTCCAAGCTGCTGGGATTACAGGCATGTGCTACTGTGCCAGGACCCACCCCTTTTTATTTCAAAAGGGTTTTGCTAAGTTGCTGAGTCTGGCCTCAAACTTGTGATCCTTCTGCCCTAGCATCCTCAGTTGCTGGGATTACAGGTGTGTATCACCAAGCCCAACTCTAAGAAAAGGATTCTTGTTTTTTTGGTGGTCCCGAGGATCAAACCCAGGGCTTCATGCATGCTAGGCAGTCCTGAGAGAAGGACTTTTAAAATAATTCAAATGTAAAATGAAAATAGAACAATTGGAAACTCTAGGAAAGTGATAAGAATCAACAGAAAGAAGTAGGAAAAAATTATAAATATAAGGAGGGGAAAAAGAACCCTAATCCTATCCCTAACCCTAACTCTGAGACTTTTAAGGTCTTACACTAGGAATGTTTTGTCTACTGTTCTACCTGCAGTTCTTCCAGCCTCATGATAAGGATTATGTAGGTGTGTAGTTGCTTTTTTGGTCTTGTTTGTGCATCTCAGATTTGATGCTATTTGGAATGCCCCAAATTTGTTTTTATCTATAGCTTCTTTAGAGGTTGATAGGGTCCAACTCAGTTTCTTCAGATTATAAAGATTTCTTGGGTACTTCCCCATAACATCTGCTTTGGGTCCATATTGCCTCTAGACAGAAAGATCCCTGGACCAGTTGTTTAATTTGGGGACTCTTCAAGTTGTTTCTGAAGAAATTATTATTAGTTTGAAATACTAAAAAGATAGGATGTTTAGGACAGGACCCAGAGTCAATCCAGACATTCAGTTAACTTAGGTTTGGAATGAGTTCCTCAGCCCACTCACGTCTTAACCTAGCTGTCATTGGCTATTAGACTAGCTTGCTTCTTGCAACATTGAAGGGCCTTTGCCTGCTTTTGTCTTGGAGAGTACATAGGTAAATAATAATTACAAAGCTATTACATTTTGTTCCTTCTTAAGACTTGTTTGGATATTGCAGGTTTCCATTTTCGAACTTTTAGATTGAAAGAACTAACTACTATGGCTAAGTAAGGAGTAGCTTTATTATATCTCTTATTTGATATTAATCAAAATTACTTAGAAGTCATTTAACTTTCCTCATTCTCCAAGTCCAAATTCATTTTATACATTTAATTTGTATTATTGGCAGGCAAGTTATATTAGTAGTCATAAAGAGAGCCTCACAAAGGCCTTCAGAGGCTCAGGGGTGAGTCTAAACCAAGTATTAATCTGACTTTAGTGAATACTTCATTGTTTTGGAATCTGCTTTGTCTTACTTAATGAAATTAATTTATTTTCTCTTAATAACTTTTTTTTTTGAGACAAAGTTTCCCTAAGTTGCCCATACTAGCCTTTAACTTTCAATTCTTCTTTGTCAACCTCTGGAGTGGCTGGAATTACAGAAGTGTGCCACAGTGCCTGGCTCTCTTAAGAATTTGGTAGGGGGCTGGGGATGTGGCTCAAGCGGTAGCGCCTGGCATGCGTGCAGCCCAGGTTCGATCCTTAGCACCACATACAAAGATGTGTCCGCCGAAAACTAAAAAAAATAAATATTAAAATTCTCTCTCTCTCTCTTTAAAAAGAAAAAAAGAATTTGGTAGGCTTTCAAGATTGGAATATTTGTTAGCCAACGTTGTGTGTGTGTGTGTGTGTGTGTGTGTGTGTGTGTGTGTTTTACTGGAAATTAAATTCAGGGTGCTCTCTAAGTAACATCCCAAGTTCTTTTTTTTTTTAAGTGTTTCGTTTTTTTTTTTTTTTTTAAATTTTAATATTTATTGTTTTAGTTTTCGGTAGATACAACATCTTTGTTTGTATGTGGTGCTGAGGATCGAACCCGGGCCGCACTCATGCCAGGCGAGCGCGCTACCGCTTCAGCCACATCCCCAGCCCCCAAGTTCTTTTTATATTTTATTGTGAGACAAGGTCTTGCTAAGTTGACCAGGCTGTTCTTAACCTTGTGACCCTACTGCCTCAGTCTCTCTGGTCTCTGGGATTACAGGCATGTGCCAGCACACCTAGCCTGTTACATTATTTATAAGTTTTCTTAAGCATCCCTAATTCTGGCTTAAACAATAATTGTTCTATTCCTCTTATTATAGAAGTCAGACAATTTCTGGCAAATGAAATGAAGATTTGGGGTTGGGGATGTGGCTCAAGCAGTAGCATGCTCGCCTGGCATGCGTGCGGCCCGGGTTCGATCCTCAGCACCACATACAAACAAAGATGTTGTGTCCGCCGAAAACTAAAAATAAATATTAAAACAAACAAAAAAAAGAAATGAAGATTTGACTCAGTGCTCTAATAATGAAAGTATTTACTGACTTGTGAGGGTTAGTATTAGGTATGATGTGTTGAAATCACTAGGGGGCAGCACATTTATCTACATTTTGGATACCTATGATTCATAAATGCCATTCAGTAGCTTGTAGCACTGGGAGTTAAATTTAGGTCATCACTTGTTCTGGCAACGTTTTGTGTACACCTGCTACTGTAACTCAGTGATAGAAAGCATGAAAATTATGCACAGAAGATTTAAATAGATTTAAATCATTAGCATGAATTTAAATCCATTAAGATTTCATTCATTTAAGATTTAAATTCATTAGCATGAGTCTCCATTACTGTTAAGTTCTTTTAGTTAATAGCTAAATACTAAGTGGATTTGTAGTTTCTGTTTTTCAGAGTCTTATATTTTGTTACAATTTTTGGAGATTCAACCAAGAACTTTCAATATGATTTCAGTGATAGATTAGCTTACTAGTTAGGAACATGGACTTTTTTGTTGTTGTTCTAATTACTTATATATGACAGTAGAATGCATATTGACACATTGTCCATAAATGGAGTATAACTTCTCATTTTGCTGGTTGTATATGATGTAGAATTACCCTGGTCATGTAGTCATATGTTCACAAAGGGTCATAATTTCTGATTCATTCCATTATCCTTCCTCCCCTTCCTTCACTTCCCTCTGCCTAATCCAAAGAACCTCTATTTTTCCCTAGGCCCACCCCCCTTATTGTGAATCAGCATCCACATATCAGAGAAAACATTCAGCCTTTGGTTCTTTGGGATTGGCTCATTTCACTTAGCATGATATTCTTCAGCTCCAAGCATTTACTGGCAAATGCCATAATTTTATTCTTCTTTAAGACTAAGTAATATTCCATTGTGTATATATATCACATTTTCTTCATCCATTCATCTGTAGAAGGGCATCTAAGTTGGTTCCATAATTGAGCTGTTGTGAACTGAGCTGTTATAAACAGTGATGTGGCTGCATCACTGAGGTATGCTGATTTTAAGTCCTTTGTATATAAACCGAGAAGTGGGATAGCTGGGTCAAATGATATGGTTCCATTCCAAGTTTTCTGAGGGTACTCTGTGCTGCTTTCCAGAGTGGTTTCACCAATTTACAGTCCCACCAGCAATGTCTGAGAGTACCTTTTTCCTGCCAACATATATTGTGGCTTGTTTTCTTGGTAATTGCCATTCTGACTAGAGTGAGATGAAATCTTAAAGTAGTTTTGATTTGCATTTCTCTAATTGCTAGAGATGTTGAGCATTTTTCCATATATTTGTTGTTCAGTTGTATTTTTTCTTCTATGAAATGACTGAAGAACATGAACTTTGAAGGCAACCTAATATAGCTTCAACTCCTGTCTCTTGTACTTGCTATGAAAACTTAAGTTAAGTTAGACTGCTTCTTCAATATAAGATATAAGATATAAGATATAAGATGCAGGACTATACTAGATTAACTCTGTAGAATTGTGGGGATTAAATGAGATAGCGTGTATTATGTTTAGCACAGACAAAGTGACCACTTTGTTATTGATTTATTATTGAAATTGTATTCTAGGTGTTTAAAGGGGCCTATTGTGAGATGATTTAAGAATTATATGGTTACAGGTAAATGGAAGTAACTTGTTCATTACTTCTTTTTTAAATATTTTTTTTTATTTATATGAAGAACATGTGATAATTTTATTAAAGGAAATAAAAACTGAAGAAACTGAAAAATAGCATATTCTTGGGTGGCAAATTATTACATATATATTTAGAAATATCTCTAAAAATTATATAAATCTAGTGTCATTTTTATTTTTTATTTATTTTTTTTTATTATTTTATTTTTTTTTAATGTTGGTTGTTCAAAACATTACATAGTTCTTGATATATCATATTTC